GGTTATCTTGCTTGTCATTACATTTACACTGCATCATGACAAACTGAAATGGTCCCTTTTATGTAGTAAATCTGTGTAGTAAAACTTTTTTCTTCATGGTTCAGTTAGACATACAGTGGCTGTTTATCTAATGGAGCACAGATTAGAGTTAAATAATGTTTAGTGCACTTAACATTTGCCTTTAACATCAAAACATGGTGGTAAAACAACAGATCAAAATGTCAGGTTTGGTTTTCAGGGATTTATATGTCGGTGAAAAGCATTTCCAGGTGCATAGGCAAACCAGAAAGGCTAGATAAGTAGAACCATTTCGCTAAAACTGAACATTGACTCATAAATCATTGACTTTTGATGATTAGTCATTAGCCCCATTTACTCTCTCGAATTCATGCCGAGATCGGTCCGAGCACGGTAGCAGAGATAACTGTTGAGTGTAAATGGCACTCACAAATAAACCGGATGGTGCCAGTTACAATCTAACCGTGCTAAAATGGTACTAGTAGGGTTCGGGGCGGTTCAGTTCTGGCTCGGTTTTTAGATGACAAAGAGCGCCTGAGCGGACCGCGTCATCTCCTTAAAGTCCACCGCCGTAATCATGAAATTTCAAACATTCATAAAAATACTAGCTTCCCTACCTTGCCCTACAGTTTCCAGTGATGATTCTGCTTAGTAGTGTGATGGACCTCAATGTCTGAGGTTGTTTCCTGCATCTGTAAGCCCTGATTAGATTATCATTTGTTGTATCCACTTCCCAAAAACCGACTCTGTCAAGTAAATTCACCAAAAGCTGCCTTCTTCGCCTGACTCTTAGCAAACTTCCTTAATGTTATGGACGGCGCCATGTTGATTTGCTTGTTTACCTCTAGAGAGCAGTAGTACTGTAGATCGTCACTAGGACGCGAGGAACCGTGCTAGCGTGGTGTATAAGTATTCGTAAGGAATCAAGCTCAGCACGGATCAGTTTCCAGAGGGTAGTTTAAATGGGGCTACCCTCTTCTGAGTTTGTTAGAGTTTGGATGTTTTCATTGAGACTTTAACCCTTTAACGAAAACTCGGTAGTTTTAGGTGGGAACTTCTTAACTTCGCACTGTTGTCTTGCTATAAAATGTTCACAGTTTTACAAACACTGTCAAGTTTCTGAGGGATTAACCATGCAATTAAACTAAATGGGTTAAATATATTAGACAGGAGAAAGTACTTTTCCTTGTTGTCTTCTGTTTTATCTGGGACCGGGTCACCGGGGCAGCAGTCTCAGCAGAGACACCCAGACTTTCCTTTCCCCAGACACCTCCTCCAGCTTAACATAGTCCATCAAGCACTTCTTGGCTTACCCGCTATAGTTCTCCTCCGGATGAGACTTGCCTAAAGCTACCAAAAAAGCTGAGTCCTCTCCTTGTAGATAAGTGGCTCTACTCCCAGCCTCTCCTAGATGACTGAGCTCCTCACCCTATCTCTTAGGGAGAGCCCAGCCATCCTGCAGAGAAAGCTAATTTCATCTCTTTGTATCCAGTACCAATTTCTGTCTGTCATGATCCAAATTTCATGACTAGGGTGAGTTAGGGGAGTGTAGGAACGTAGACTGACCAGTAAATTGAGAGCTTCAGCGTCTGCCTCAGCTCTCTATTTACCACAACAGACTGGTGCCAGTTCATTATAGCAGTTCTCATTATAGCAGAGGCACACCAGTCATACCATACCACTTTACCCCTTTATTGGTTAAGCACTTTTATAATAACAAAGGTCATCAAAGTGCTGTATGTACAACTGAATACAGCATTCAAATAAAAAAACTTCCGGAAATCCTGTCCATAAAGTAATGAACAGGACTGGTTAAAGAGGGCAGCCCTGCCAGAGTCCTAACTGCACCCGAAACTGGTCCAACCTAATAGCGGCTATTCGGGCTAAACTCCTGCTCTGTTTGTACAGAGACTGGATGGCCCCTAGTAAAGGGCCCCTGACTCCATACTCCTGGCACAGTGAAATACCTACTTCAGGTTGACAAAACACATACGGACCGGTTGGGCAAACTCCCATGACCCTTCAGCACCCTGTAGAGAGTGTAGAGCTGGTCCACTATTAAATAGCCTGGACATAACCTACACAACTCCTCCTAATGCCAAGGTTTGACATTCAGCCAGACTCTCCTCTTGAAACCCTATAGGCCTTCCAAGGCCCCATAGGACCTATAGGCCCCAAAAGCCTATTTAACTCATCACTGCATCATCTGCTTGTCAGTTCATCTGAGATTGTCTTTTTTTATTTATCAAAATGGACTATAGATAAAATTATGTTGGAAAAAGGATTAAATAAGGAATGCTTGAAAGAGGTTTTTAGGTGGCTTTTAAAATGTCATTCATCATTTGTCATGTAAGCTTACAGCAGAGACCCTGGCCAGCCGCTGCTTCCTCCCACTGCTCCCTGCCCAGCTAGATAAAAGAGAGATCCCCTGAATCGGACCATCATCCACGTCATAGAGTAGATGGTGGTACTCTCCAAACTTGTTCTGTCTCTGGGGAATCAAGTTGACCAATGGACATTAACCCTGATGCCGTTGATCAGCTTTCCACAGCAAAACAAGTTCAGCGACTCGTCCTATGAAATCCTGGCTGACCATTTTGAGCTGAAACTGGCTGCATTCTTTCAACTTACATAACAACCAGTCCCTGTTTGTTATATTATGATGACCTCTTCACTCCTCTTGCCAACGCCATAGTCAGGAATACTATGTAAAACCACACCTCTTGCCCTGGAAACAGCAGTCGGTATTACCTTTAGAATTTACTTTCTGACTTAGAATTCACTTTCTAAGTTTTGTTTTTTTATAGAGCTTTAATGTCTCTTTCATGCCCCTCATTTGCAGCAGTAGATATCCCTAAATTCAATTTTTGTTCAGTTCCATTTATTTATATAGCAACATTTCCCAACATAGGTCCTCTCAAGTAATTTATAAGAGAATTCAGTCAGATCATACAACCACATTGGTTCAAAGTGTTCTAAGGAAACCCAGCTGGTTGCATCGAATCATTGACTTTGTAGGTTCCAAACAACCATATATGAAATTGAAGTTTTTTTCATGGTGGTGTTTGCAAGGGAGAACACTATGATTATGTCGGATACCTTCTTTTCTCTCAGTTACCACCAGAGCAAATAAAAGCAAATAAAACTCTAAAGCCTTTTTGGGGGAAAGTTATGCAGTTCTAATGAGACTGCATGACTCATCATCTTGCAACAAACATCTGAAGCACCTGTAAGAAAAATCCATCCAGCAGCAACACACAGATTTTAAAATAAACTGTATTAAAACTAAAGGAGAATGTTAGCGTTATCAAGAAGGATGAGACATCAGGTTGTTTTATCACCAAGCCAACGTAGGTGACTTTATTTAATTCATGATCATCAGACAGAACAGAAAAATCCTGAACTTTGTACAGGACTGGGTGCTTATATGTATGTGTGGGCATCTCCGCTGATCCAAACTCTGCTTGGATCTGCGTAACACTGACAGTGAGATAGTGTTAATTTCATAAACGAAAACTAAACAAAAATATTTTCGTCAATGCACATTTTTCACCGAACGAAAACTAGACGAGACGAAAATCCCCACTAATAAACAATATCTGGGAGTAAATCAGAAATAATTTTCGTGGACTAATAAAGACGAGACGAAAATGCAGTTCGGTAAATAAAGACTGGGTAAAATCTATGTATATTTTAGTTCACGAACAAAGACGAGACGAAAATTTTATATTATTTTATGTTTTTTTCAAATCCTGTCTCCTCCTCATTAGCTCACCCACTTTCAAACCTGGAGGGGGCGGCGGACACAGAGTAGCCTCAGTCTTGCCAACTCAGCGACTTTGTCGCTATATTTATATTTACTTTTCAGACCCCTCCAGCAACTATTTTTCAAAAAAGCGACTAGCGACAAATCTGGCGACTTTTTATGGTGTCACTGGCGGCTTTTGGAGACTCTTAAGTGAAAGCATGTATCGTTCCTACTCTTGTCCTCCAGCGGCAGCTGCTGCCGTGGGGCGCCTCCCCCATCCCAACCCCGTTCTCCCGCTCCCACAGGAGTCCCTCTCAGCGCTGCAGTCAGAGCCGCAGGATGTTTACCCTCAGCGTCCAGACTGCAAATGAAGCGCGCATGCGCCGGGATTGACGGAGCAAATTGATCACAATAATTAAAATATATAAATAAAAAAATAAAATAAAAAATAAATAAATAAACATTAATGGACAGAAAAAAGTAGCTCTATATATTGTTTAGTAAAGTGAGTAAAAACACAATTATATAGTGTTTTTACTCACTTTTTGTCTTTCTGTAACTCAATATAAATATGCAAATATTGTCAGAACATCTGCCATGTCTGCATGTGTTCCGGGGTTGTGTGTTTTATCAAAAACATGAGAGAAAATGTTGAAATGTGAAATAATTTTAGGAAATGTTAAATATTATCTGCTGACAAAAAAGTAAAAGGTTAAAATTATGTCCTGACTAAAACTAGACTAAAATGTTGACAGTTTTTGTTGACTAAAACTAAACGAATAAAATTATGTTTCCTTGGACTAAAATAAAGACTAAAATGCTCTGACATATAGTCGACTAAAACTAGACTAAATAAAAATGCGATGATGTCGACTAAATGTGATAAAAACTAACAAACGATGCTGAAACTGGACTACAACTAAAACTAAATTTAAAAATGGCTGCTAAAATTAACACTACAGTGAGTCCTTTGAAGTTTCCAGAAAGTATTCTCATTCAGAAGGAAAAGGGTAAAGGAACGGATCTTGGAACCAAAATCACTTTGCAGCGCTACCTCTCTCTAAGGGGGGAAACTGACTGAGTTATTTAGCATAAACAGTTCTCTTTCTGTGAACAGTTACTTTGCTTATATGTCTATTTAAACATATCACACAACTTCCTTTCATCAGTTTATTTCTTTTTCTTTTCAGTTTCCATTAAAAATCTCTTCTTTTCTTTTTCTTTTTTCCTGCAGCGGGCCAGTTAAGCCAATCAGCACATTTCTCCCTGCAGCTGCCCTACACTGTGCTGGGCCTTGGACGAAGCGCCAACTTCCTGGATCACCTCTTTGTTGGCATTCCCAGGCAGCCTGGAGAAACGGTGAGGATGCATATTCAGAAACATTTTCGAACACATGAGCTGTTTTACCAAGGGATGCACAGGATGGAAATGAATACAGGCTGCAAGAAAGAAAAAAATAAAGATCTTTAAAGCTCAAAGAAACATCAGATTTAAACCCCCAGGTGCAAGTTTCACTGGAATACAACGCTTAAATTTAAACACCAAATTGAGTTATCTCTGAACAGTTTCTGTCCCTCTGAGCACTGCGTGCCATGCATGTCTCAGGCACTTAATGTCTATGTATTAAGTTTAGTCTGCAAGAGAAAAGAAAGCCTCAGGATTGTGATATTAAGAGCCAAAAAATCCGTCCAGAAAAATATCAACTGATAGAATAAATAATGAAACATTTAACATTTAAAAGTCATATGCAGTAGTTTTATAACAGAGTTTCCGCGGGTCAAAAATCATTTTAAGAATTTTTGTTTAATTAAGACCTTAATTGGCATTCAAATTCATTAAATGTGATTATCGTGGCATTTAAAATGCTTTATTTAAAAAAAAATCACATATATTATATGGCAATATATTTGCACGGAACTGCTTCTGGTTGATCGTAAAGCCGTATGTTCGGAATATATATATATATATATATATATATATGACAGTCATGGGTACTTGTAGAAGGCATTAAAATTATTTCTAAGAGCATTTAAAAGCATTAAATTAGAGTTACTCATTCCTGTATAATACCTGTATAACCAGATTCAGTGTTATTATTACTTGCTGGAAGCTGCCCTGGATGCTACCGTATTTTCCGGACTATAGAGCGCACCTCACTATAACCCGCACCCACAAAATTTATTTTGAAAAAAGTGTAAACTTAGATGTATAAGCCCCATCAGGCTATAAGCTACTGATATCTACTGAACTGTCTACCACCAAACCTGTAGGGGGAGCTCTACATATAGCCCCTGGAATAGGGATGAAGAATGCTAGCTCTAGTTAGCTCCAGTTAGCTTGTTAGCTTACAGCACTAAGAGCTTTTAACGAAAGATCAGGCTTCGTCAGCTCTTTATTTTTAGCTCTATAGCAGTTGAGCCCAGCCTCTTCATTGGTTCAGCAGCTTTAATGAGTCAAATAAATGGCAAAATGTGTGAATTTGGGAGATTTGCTCTCCGTCGTGTCTGCTGCTAGCATGTTCTGGTGCTAAATGAAAATTAGCCCCTTGTTCTATCATTTTAAACTTTGACTTCACCCTCTGGAGGTGAGGAAAAATCCACAGAAAAGCCAAACTTTCTTATAAGTCGCATGGTCTAAAGCGAAAAACTAGCGGCTTATAGTCTGGAAAATATATTTCTATGTTCTATCGAGCTGATAACATTGAGCAGAAACAACTCCATGTAGCTGGGTGTTAATCCTCTGCTGTCATTTAACACTTGGTTTGGATTTATTTATTTTTTTATTGCTGTTTATGCAGGAAAATATGATACCTAGTATCAGCTGTCACAAAATATGTTCAAACAAAATGTCTGCTAATGAGAGCAGCTCATTAGATAATGTGAGAAAGCTGCCGTTCCCACATCTTTTAAGCACTAATTACGTGTTTGTGTGTGTCAGCTGAACAGGATTTAAATCCCAGCACCAATCAGTCTGTTTTTTTCCACTTTTTTATTCCAGTCTTTGGTTTCCTTTATAAAACGTATGACTCATTTAAAACCCACATACTCATATTTTCGCATTCATATTTACCTTTGCTTCCTCTCCTTAATGAGCAGCAGTGAAGGATTTTCACTTGTCATAAACATAAACAGTGTTCGGCCATATCTTTTGAAGAAGCACTTTTTCTGCCTACATCCTCATTCCAAGTGTTAGGAGGTTTTACTTTAAAGATGTCAATGTGTACTTAAAAAGAAGAAAAAAGGTTAAAGGTTAAAATATAAATAGAAACTTTTTATGGGATAAATATTATTCACAGCTATAAATGAGTCGTTGTGAGACTCCTTATCATTGAAGGAAAACCACAGTTTCTCTATTATATATTATATATTTCTAGTATTTTCAGGAAGTGATATTAAAATGATTGAATTGCATGTATTTAAAACAGAAATTTATATTATTTTAGAAGCATTTGTCATGGTAACAATCAAATCTTCAGTTATATTTATTTTCATTATGATCTTAATATATAAACTTAAAGGGACAACTAATTGTTTTTTTTATCAATAACAGTTCCTTTACTGTAAAAAATAAACTATAAAGTTTTTTTCAATGGGAAGCAATCATTTGTTAGCAGATATTTTTATTTAGATTCAGATTTTAGATTTGTTATTGGTACATTTCAAGTCAGATGCAAACCATTGCTGTCGTTCTCATTGTTTTGGAGGTTTTTTTTGATCGGCCAGTTTTGCTGGTTTTCCTTTTAAGCGAGAAGAACCTTCTCTAAAAGCAGAAACATGTGGTGAAGGGACAGAGCTTCATTATTATATGGCTCCATCCAACCATAGAAAGACTCTGACTCTTTGGTCTCTCATTAAATGATCTTTTAACCTGGTGGAACATTTTAGCTCTTGTTTAAAAATTTCAGATTACTTTGATCCTAGGAATCAGTTTCTGCTCAGAAATAACAACAGATCCACATGGATGTGTCCTTAAACCAAACCTTTGTTCAACATTTCTTGAAGCCAACGATGCATGAGTAACCCTGGAAGCGGCCCAGATGTGCTCCCCGTCATGCGACATGCTAATATTAAACTAATATGGTAAATATGGAACGGTTTTGTTGATGTAATTTATTCGTCGCCCACATACTTCCAGAAATGTCATCGCTCTTCAGCTCGGCTCTCTCCCCATCTGCGTATCCATCTCCATCTCTGTTTCCTCTCCCCGTGCGCTTGTCACTCTGAATATTAGCAACAACAGAGCTGCTTTTTCCCCTCTCCCATGCGGTCCCAAGGTCTTCGTCAAGCAGCTTATTTAAATTGCAAATGATTCAGTCCAACAAACTCTAAAGCTATAGCGAATCAAAAGCTCTCAGCCCAACCAGTCTGCTTCATCTTCCTTTTTATTTCTGCTTTTCTTTTCTATACATGTTTATATAATCTTGTGTTCCCTCCTCCTTACCCATTGCTTCAACAAAGTGACTTTAATGAATGCCTAAAGATGCAGCCTATTATGCAAAGTGGACTTTTTTTTTTCCTCGACAGAGGGTCTGGAGAGTGGAGGGACTGCATGATATTTAATGAGGAGTAGCTGGCCTCCACCGTAAAGAGGACAGTTTTTGAAAATCCTACCCAGCGTTTCTTATTACCACCATTTTAGCAACTATAGATCTTTTTGTCCTTGATCTGTCACTCTGATTCCTGATCTATTTTTGATCCAATCTTGTCTTTCCGTCCTGTTATCTTACCATCTCCCCTGCTGCGTTTTTCACACTTTCTCACCTGTAACAGCAGTAGCTGTTTGACTGAAGGACAGGGTCTGTGAAATGCGTTTGAATATCTTCCATCTTCTGTCCAATGGCTCCTATCGTTTACTTTCCTCTTTCTCAGTGAGTGCCTCTCCTTCTGCTCACTTATCTTCCACCCAGGGGATTCCCTTTGCTCGAAGTGGTTTACTTCACTAATCAGTTCCCTACTTGTCACTCTCACCCGCCACATCTGAATCCGTCTCCGTCGGTTCTCTCGTAGTGTGCTAGTTTCGCTGGCTTTGAACCAGAGCGTCTGTGTTTCTCTCTGAAGACTTGGGAGCAGTTTCCTCTTCCAAACAGCCTGATCAGATCTGCTCCCAGGAAGCAGCAGTAGAGTCTGACTCGGCTCCATCCCCCGTCTGCCACAGGGATTGGTTGTTGCTTTCCAAGAGCAATCCAACAATGGCTCAGGCAGAAATGTGCTTTTTATTTGAAAAGCAATACCGTTTCTGCACACTTATTTATCAGAGCTGCATGATGTGGGTCCTCTCTGTTAATGAGGAATGGGGAATCATGATTAGAAAGCAGCAGCAGCATGTTAAAGATGTTCGAGCTCCAAGCCTTATTATGTTGGTGGGATATCAGATGAGATTGCTGGTGTTGCCTATGGTTATCACTGAATTCATTAACTACAATGGTCTGGATGCAACAAGGGTTTAATATAAAAGTAGATGAAAAGTCTAAACTCTGGTTTATACTGGTTGTTAATGATGTGGAATTTTAATTTGATAAACTCTGCCTAAATATACCGGCCTCTCAGTTATTCCCTGCCAGAATGTCTCCTCCTATACACCTGTATGAGAATCATCCCAGAGTCAAGTGTGCAGCGTCTTCCTTTCTGAGTCCCTGTGCTTGATCTGCTCTTAGGCCCCGTCCACACGAAGTCGAACCCTGGCCTAAACACACAAATTTTTCACCAAACCAGCCTCTCATCCATACGAAGCCGCCGTTTCGGGGGTCTGTAAACGATCTT